TTCAAGTTTTTCCACTTGAGGAGTGCTTAGAAGCAGTGCCAGGATTTGCTGCCCTGTTTTCTTGACAAAGTGGGCAAACAGCATACTTCTGAATATTGGCTGCCGACGTGGACAAAGCAGGCCCCTGGCATATGGAGTGCACTACCAAGCGAATCTACTGCAAAGCACATATGATACATGAAAGTGTATGTAACTGAAAAGCGCTCGGATGTGCGACCCGGGACCGCATTTGCTGTTGCCGGATCTTGGACATCACTGATGCCCTTGACTTGATGCTGGCAGTGCATAAACTCCGGGAGGATCGCTTCTGAACGGGGGGTGGATGTGGAGGAGGGGGTGGGGGGCTGTTTGTTGATTTGATCAAATAGTTTTATTTATTTATTTATTTATTTATTTATTTTGCTATTTATTTAGTTTATAATTTGTTTAATTGCAGGTGCTGAATACAACAGCAGAAGATATAAAGACTTTTGCCGACGAGCTGGCCGCAGCCATGGCAGACACGGAAAGAAATAACTATGTTGCTGTTGTGTCTTCGCAAGCAGCAGCAGCAGCAGCAGCAGCAGCAGACCCCAGCCTCCAGCTGAAGCAAATCGAAGTCTTCGATAAAGAACACCAAGAAAGCACCAACACCGACGGAGAAGATGTCTATACTGTCGCCTAAGCAGCAGCTGCAGCAGCAGAGATGCAGCAGCAGCAGCAGAGATGCAGCAGCAGCAGCAGCAGCACAGGAATAGCAGCACAGCAGCAGGAGCAGCTGCAGCAGCTGCTGCTGCAGCAGCTGCGGGTCTCGAATGGTTCTTGGCCTCTTCTTGTCCACCCCTCTCCCCAGCTGTATGTACAGCTCGGGGCATTATTGGCTCTTCAGAAAGGCCCCAAACTAATTTGTTTCTTTTGTCTAACGGGCTACAAATTCAATAAATAATAAATAAATAATAGTTTCATATCTATTTATATGTGCATTCTGGAAAGAATAGATTTGCAGTAGAGCTGCTGGAGTGTCTATACGCGGGGGCTGAAGTGTACGTACACCTGAGTGGCTGCGCAAACCGGAGCTCCTCTCGGGTGTCTTTGCGAAAAGATTGTTTGCAATAATATTAATAATAATAATAATAAATAATAATAATAAATAATAATAATTTATAATAATAGTAATAATGCGTTCATTTAGAAGCAGCAACAAAGAGAAGACAAATGAACAAATTCTTCATTTCGTTTCGGGCCTCCAGGTGTACACACTCCAAATGCAAATGCGCGTCTGTCCAAATGCGCATTTGCAGATGGATTTGTTTATTATTTCAACAGTAAATAATAATAAACAATTAAATAAATGATTATTATATTTTAGTAAACATATTTATGTACTTTAATGTCTAAATCCTTGTACACCAGGAGAGCTACGCCACGCGGGCCCACACGGCTAGCTTTATTTAAATAAATAGAAATGCACATTTATAACTTTATAAACATAAATTAGCATTTATAATTCAGTAAAGTAATTATAAACAACTTAGAATGCATTCACACCGTCCACCGCAAACATATGAGCCCTCTTCCGTTACAAATGCATGCATGCATGCATGAAAAAATGCATGCATGCATGCATGCATGCATGCAAGCAGCTGTACGGGCATGCATGCATGCATGCACGCGTGCGTCTTCAGCTATTGCGAGTTGCCACGATTTGCATTTGGGATAATGCGATAAACGAATAAACAAATCAAATAAAGCGGAAATAAAAAAATAAATTTGTATTTAAGAAATTAAACATTTATTTGCACAGGTGGCCGCACGTGTGGGGCCCCAGCCTCTGCATGCAGGCCTTGTTAGCTGTCCGCAGTTAGACGGAGAAATAAACAAAATGCAAATAATAAACATAATAAATATAACATAAAATAATAATTACAATATTAATAATGTTTGAAGTCTAAACTTGCGCTAAAATGCCATACAAACATGTATATGTATATATTTGTATATGCATAGTAATTTGTAAGGCCTACAAGGACTTGGATTTTCTTTGAATTTGCGCAATTAAAACAGAAAATGGAAAAAAAAGAGTAAAAGGAAAGCCCCAGAGGCTTCAAATAGACTCGAAGTGGATTAAAAGAGAAATAATGAAGAAAAAGGAGAAAAGGCGTTGGTGGGAAAGCTAGAGGCGGGGTACTTGGGGTGTACGTACACCCCACCGGGGTGTACGCGCAGCCCCGCGGGGCGGTCGTTCGCCTCGGAAAAAGAATAAATGGATCAAATAAAAGCCGAAATAAATAAATAAAAGAGTTTAATTGTTTATTTTTCATTTATTTCCCCTTTTCCGCCTCATTTGCAGTACAACCAGGCCACAAACAGACCCCCCCACAGCAACATTTGGCTCCAGTTTATATCTTTCCAGCCCTTGTGCGTTTCTCTTTCTTTGCTTTCTCTCTCTGCTCTTCGGTACTGCATGCAGACGCCCCAAACACCAGAAAGTCCATTTTTAAAACTTTTATTTAATTTACTTTTCTCATTTCTCCAATTATTCCTCCAGTCCACAAAAAGCCACAAAAAAACTTCTTTTTGAACTCCAATCTGTTTTATTTCATCTTTTCTGCAGCCTTAGTGTTGTTTGTTTAAGTTTATCTTCAAATTTTATATTTACTTTGCCATTAATTAATTAATTGACATCTTGTATTTGCCATTAATTAAATAATTAATTAATTAATCCCCTCCTTCATTCTAGCCCACAGAGAGATCAAACTGATCGCTGATCTGCCCTTCAGTGCCGCTGCTGCTGCTGCTGCTGCTGCTGCCGGTGTTAGCTGCAGCACTGCGTGCTGCAGCAAGAGCAGCAGCAGCGGCGGAATGGGACTTTGCTGCACTTCGGAGGAAAGCGGAAACAAGAGACAAAATTGAAAAGACAAAAGAATAAAAAGATAAAAAGCAATTAGATTTACTTGTTCTTCAATAACTCTTTTGAAATGCTCTTTTTGCTCCTCAGAAAGACCAGCAGCAAAGCTCTCCAGCTGCGTCTGGTTGGGGTTTGCGGGCTGGGGCTGGGGTGTACGTACACCTGGCGCTGCAGCAGCAGGCTGCGCAGCCACGTCCACCCCTGCAGCAGCAGCACAAGCAGCCCAGCCCCAAACCCTAAACCCTAAACCCTGGCCCTAAACCCTAAACCCTAGGGCAGCAAAACCCACCTGCTGCCTTCGCCCGAACTGCTGCAGGCTGCAGCTGCTGCTGCTGCTGCCCCATGGCCTTCAGCGCCGCCACAGACGGAGTCCCCATAGACTTCAAATAAGCTGCAGCACAGCAGCAGCAGCAGCAGCAGCAGCAACAGCAGCAGCAGCAACAGCAGGAGGAAGATAAGACCCAGGCCGCCTACGCCGCTCGCGTTTGCTGTGTTCCCCGCTGCGCCCCGCCCCGCTGCAACCCCCCGCTGCTGCTGCTGCTGCTGCTGCTGCTGCTGCTGCTGCTTACAAGTGGCGCGGACAAGTTCTTGAGTCCTTTCCGTTAACACTCTATTGGTGGATAAGAGGGCCCGCAAAACCGCCCAGTGCCTCGCGGGGATATCCGCGAACTGCCAGGCAGCAGTGCATGCGCTGGCCACGAAAATAAAAGGAAATAAAGCTCTGAAAAACTTTTAAACCCCAAACCACAAACCCTAAACCACAAACCCTAAACCCTAAACCCTAGTCCCTTCAACCACGCGCACGAGCGAAAGAACGAGCTACGAAGCCCTCGCACACGTGCGATGAGACACAAATCCTAAACCCTAAACCCTAAACCCTACACCCTAAACCCTAAACCGTAAACCCTAAACCCTAGTCGCACGCACACCCGCAGCAGAACACGCGACGCCTAACTCACGTCCATGCACTAAACCCTAAACCCTAAACCCTAAACCCTAGGAAGATAGAGGTGCACACGGGAAGCCACGCGCGGAGGCGGCATTGCCCAAAACCCTAAACCCTAAACCCTAAACCCTAGCTGACACGCTGGCTGACAGCCGCTGGGCCCAGGCAATCCTAAACCCTAACCCCTAAACGCTCAAGTCTGAGCTGAAACCCCGAGAGCAGGCGTAGGGTTTCGAAAACCCCAAATAAGGGTTTAGGGTTTAGGGTTTACCATAATTTTCTCGAAGGGCAAAAGACTCGAAATGAAAGGCAAGAAATTCAAAGAGTCATCATCTTCTACAAACCGCTGCTGAATCTCCACGCAGAAAGCCGCCACGCTATAAACCAGAAATATCTGCAAGCAAACCCTAAACCCTAAACCCTAAACCCTAAACCCTAAACCCTAGTTGCCGCCGCAGCAGCAACGGCGGCAACCCTGAAGAGCTGGAAAGCACCAACAGCGAACACGCCACAAGACGCGCAGCAGCAGACAACCCCAAACCCCAAACCCCAAACCCTAAACCCTAAACCCTAAACCCTAACCTGTCGCGCGAAAGAAACATGTTTGGGAAAAG